CCTAAAATCCTGTAGATTAAGTTATTGCAAAATGTTGGAGCTCAAATCAGTCTCCATATAACTTGAACTAATCAAGTCGCTTTAGTACTAATTAAAGTGCATTTAAGGATGTTGGTGATCTTTATTTATTATTAGCTTGAATATGGTTGTATCATTGGTGCTCTGCTCCGATGAAGTCCTTTATATGACAATAATCTTTAGCAAGCTGTCACTGAAATCGAAGAAGAAAGTCTCAGGATCAGCGAATAAAAGTTGAGTTTAGAGTAAAACCAACCTCTTTTCGGCTCAGGTTAATGAGTCTCAGCTTTGACGATGTTCGCCACATGACGAACGAAAGCTCAGTCCATCTTCGTCCGAAACGTTGGAGGATGTCTCGTGGACTGCATTAACCTGAGCGTCGTATTGAGGCCAAACGGCTGACGTACAACGCGAATCAGCCGACGTCTTCTGGTGAGATTGACCCACGAATCTCTTCTTTATGTACTTCCGTACGAAATAACAATTTTCATATCAATGTTTCAGACATTGTCGGAGAACCAAAGAGAAAGATACTTTACCAAAAACGCACAAAATATAATAAGCCAAATAAAATAAGGCTGGTCAGGCGCATTGACACTCACTTATGCGCAACTTTGCAGTCCTAATGAGGCTTTTCATGATCTGGTTGGCTATTTCATGCTTAACATACATTTTTTGTGCATTGTGTTTATGCAAGTTCACGTCATGTGGATTGCGAAAGTCATAATCACACTCAAAGTTATTTAGGCGTTTTTTTTCAATTATTTTTTCTCGCTCTGACGATGTCTTTCACAGCCGGGAAGAGGAAAGCTTAGCATCGGTTGATCAGAGTTGCAGGAAGATGAGCCGAGGACTTTTTTGCATAACCCAACAGTCTTCACTCCTTCACAGCAATCCTCCTTCGGTTTCCGGTGGGATAGATTCACAAACTTATTCCAGCCATAGCTTCTATTTTGGTGGCAGTCTCCTTTCGATGTATAGAAGTGGTATTACCTCGTTTTTGCAACTTGGTCGTGTTGTCAGGACTACTCAGCTGAACGAAACTTGTCAGAAGTCAAAAGAGGTAGAGGAGTTGACAGTTAGTTAATCATGGGATTGACTTCATTTGTCTCTTTGACGAGTTGTAGCTTAGTGCTTAGATTGACAAAACATCCTGACTGTGCCGACGGAATGTCTGGGAATGTGCCGAATCCACGATCCGTCCGTGGGATTGATGATAACTTCTAGGGTGGAGGACTTCGGACAAGGTGCGTGCAACTAAGCCTATCAGACAAGACGACCAAGTTGCGAAAACGAGGTCAGGCCACTTCATTCCAATCAGGTTTTCCTTCTAGATGAAAACCCCTGTCACAGTGATTCATTTAGGAAACCCTGTTTTTTCACACAACTTTTGCATGTTGTCACCTCTCGGGCAGTCAGTCGCTAGGCTGCACTCAGGCGCCAGGTTTGCGGTACTTCGACCGGTCGTCATCGCACTCTCGTCGTCATGGCCTCGAGTCGTGGCCGAGTCGGGTCATCTCGCCTGGGCCCAACGCCGCTCAGCTTCTTTCACTTCTCTCCCACAATCCGTTTGCTCCCTTTGTCCCTCTCACACTCGCACTTCACTCTCTAATCTCCACTCCCCCCTCTTTCGCTTTCCTTGCCTTGCCTCGGACACCCCCTCGTCCGGCCCGGTTTTCGTATAAACACTTGAAATAACGGCTAATAATCAGTTGTTCTGCCCTGAGACCGACCCCCCTCTCCACCCCCGCTGCCGCCCCATACCCCCCTTGCCAACCAGCGGCTCTGATGGCAACGTGGAGGCCATCGCGAAGACCATTGCTCGTCGGCCCCCTTCCGCCAGGCAGGCCGACAGGCGAACAAGCTATTTCAGGCGGCTCGAAGCTGGTACAGCAAGCCTCGTAATGATCCTTCAATAATGGAGTGTAGAAAAAACGCATCTCACCAGCACTGCCTCCTCTTCGTCCGACTGACGAGCCTTGGAGATTGAGGCAGGTTAGGAGACCGGGAAATCGGTGCTGCATTTTATGACCCAAATGTTTTCCTCTTGTTTACAAGACAAGAGGGCGAGATATCGTGGATATCGATTTGGTATATGATTCTCTCTCTCGCATTATTCATTCGCCAAATTGCTCGCTCTCTCACACCCCAGCCGTCTATCTAGGCCAGTCAACCAGCCATCCCCTCCCCCACCAGAGGCCCCCATGGCCGGACCGCGAGTCCCCAGGTCCAAGGCTCGAGTCCCGGGCTCGGAGCCTCGAGGCTCTACTCGCGGCTTACGCCAATTACGGCGTACCTCCTCATCCCCTGTCCCCATGCTGCCACACTTGGTCACTGGCCCGTTTGTGTTTTCCATATGTATTTGCAAAATCATAGACCAATACAGACAGACAATGCCGTCTCTCAGACACACGTACATACACACACATACACATACGGACACGCAGATACGTAGGCAGGTAGGTCGACGCTAATCATGCACAGGCAGACGTGTGTGCATTCCTGCGTGTATGTGAAGTCAGCTCTTTTTATGCCGTTGTGCCTTAAAGCTTGTTTTAAGTCAGGTGATTACAGCCTATGGGAATTAAAACAGCTAAACCCAGAATGTACACAACAATTTACGACCCAATTTGTGTATGTATTACCTTATCATAAAATAAATAGTTCCAGACTTATAGACATAGCCCGACTATTTTTCGCGCATGTGCATCCAAAACTGCATGTTTGTGTGTGTGTGTGTGTTTGTGTGTGTATGTGTTTGCATGGCTGAGGGGTGACAGACGGGGTTGTCGGTGTGACTTTGGTGCTGGCTGCAGACTTTCAGCTGTAATTTGTAGCTGGAACCACCACATCGAGAGTGGCCCAGGCTGACGGGAATTCAAGAGACCTCGATTCCGGAGTCGGACAAACCGACGACAAGAGGCCGATGTGAGCGGTTGAAATGGCGACGGCGACGGCGACGATGACGACGAAGGGACCAATCAATCGAGGCCAATTTGGAAGGTCCCGTAGAAGAAAACGGCCAGCCCATTTTGTTGAGGATACTTTCATTTTTTTTATGAAAGTGTAAGTTGAAGAGATTCATTTGTTGATCTCACCGGAAGATGACGGCCGATTCATGTTTTTCTGCAGTCGTTTGACTTTAATCAGTAGTTCAGTTTGACCAAGTCCAAAAGACATGCATCCTTGGTTAAGCGAAAACCGAGCTGACATTATGTCCACGATATTATGGACATCATCAAAGCTGGAAATCACTCTTGTAAGAGTCTCAAGTTGAGATATCTTTCCCACTCATCCTACTTCTTCACATCTTTATCCTCCTCCTTTTACTCCTCTGCCTTCAACAACTTAATCGATTTATAGAAGTGAGTTGACCTCATTGTCGCAACTTGGTCCTGTTGTCAGGGCGACTATGTAGAACGCACCTAGTCCGAAGTCGTCTGCCATAG